GAATATGGCCATATGCCACTCCCTATAAAGTCTTTTGTGGAAAGGTAAGCTCTGGGCAAGAAGGGGAGTGAAGTACTCACTCCAGGGGTATTCCATAGAAGTCAGTTAAACAGGTCAGTTTACAGAGCTGGGCCGCAGTAGTGGCCAGAATTGCAGTTCGTGAGAATTGCCTGGAGGGCAACTGGTTAAGCTCACCATATCAACATGAACAACTAAGTTATTACTACCTAGATCAGTGGTTCTCAACCTTTTTAGACTCAGGGCACCTCTCATTAGGCTCAAGGCACCACTCAGTTCTTAACTTCCTCTAGTTTTTTGACTATGGAAAAAGTAGAGCAATTCTTTTGTTGCCAAGAACTCAGAAAGACCCACCAAAGGTCAGAATGGTTTTGACACTATGGATTCCTATTTGAAATCTCTGCATTTATCTTGTGAACCATGTGTAGGTGCCTGCACACCTAACAGTGCTAACACTGCACAGCACCCTGAGGTACCCTTAAAAAGATCTTACAGCACCCCAGGATACCTTGGCAACCTGGTAGAGAATCACTGACTTAGATGCTTATTACCGTGGTGCTGAGTTGTACTCTCAGTTCTGTGATGGGCTGTTATTTTTTAGCATGGCACTGTTTTTTCTACTTTGGCTCTATCTTGGCTCATGTCAAAGAGCTGTTTTACAATGTGACTTCAAAATCACAAGGGTAGGACTTATCTCATTATTAACCTTCCATGTACTCAAAAATAAACCTGGTGCTGTGTCAGCAGACTAGCTGTGGATCCAGAAGGGGTGATTTGTTAAATTACAGGATAGAAGAGAAAATAAAATTGGAATCACTGCTTCAACTGAAGAACAGGCATTTTTGCATTGCTTTCCCTCCCCCACACAGCGCTTAATACATGTCACTGCTTTGATTGTGAGCAACGCCTGCACCTTGCTGAAAACATTTAAAAAAATCTGCAGACTCCATGATCCATAGTATTACATTTTCTTTGTGACAAGAAACAAATGCCCCTCACAATTTCACCATACATTGTCAAACACAAATAAGAAGCAAAGCCATCAATAAAGGTTTTTGACATTGACAAATACACATCCATCTGACAGGCGTAAATAGCTCTCACTAGAACCCTTTCTTTTAAAAACAACTCCAAAATTCTTTGAACATCTTGCAAACTAAAAGAGAGGACGAGACATGTGGTTGACAGGCCCTTTTCTGTATAGATGTTATTATTTTGTAGACTAGAACTTTTTACTGTTTTGAAAAAGAAAAGTACAGATCTCCCTATGCCTGACAAAGGGTGCTTGTGCCCCAAAGCTCACAACGAGCAATTTTTCCAACTAATTAATCGGTCTAATGCAGGGGAGTTAGCAACCCCTGCCACGTGTGCTGAGCATGGCAAGCAAGGCCATTTTGCTCGGCATACCACCACCAACCCAGGCTCTAAGCAGCTGCTGCCAGCCACAGAGCCCAGGCAGCTCCCAGCAGGCAGCTAGGAGGCCGCAAGCCCTGCTGCAAGCAGACCAGGCTCCGAGGGGCCGGCTGCAGGCGGGAGGCTGCTCTGGGCTCCGGCACCTTCCAAAGTAGACATTGTGGTTTTTTCGGCATTCTGGCCAAAAAACGTTGCCTACCCCTGGTCTAATGAAGAAGACGCTGCCTCAGATCTATTACATTGATTTTTAGGCTGCAGAGATGCAGGGGAAGCCAGCAATGCACAGCTGGCAATCCCTAGAGGAGAAGCAAAGCAAGCAGAAAACTGAGGGGTGACTCCTTCATCTCCTTTGCAAGAGGTGCAATGTAACGTACTCCCCCTCAACCCATATGAAGTGGGATGCAGAGCCCCAACCAGGCGCACTGAGCACCCCACATCAAACCCCTCGCCTAAGGTCCCGCGCAGGCGCACATAACCCCTAGCTCACCAGGCATAACGTCACTCTACCTCAAGCCTGGCCCACCCAGCCGTGACCCCTGTAGCTCTGAGGCCCCGCCCTCTGGAGTGACGCCAAGTTCAACAGTCCCCCCGGGCACTGGAGGGGGTGGGGCTTCTCACGCTTAGCCCCTGATTGGCTGGGGCGGTGGGGCGTGCTGCGCAGGCGCGGCGGGAGGGCGGGCGATTGGCTCGGAAGCGGTTTGAACGTTGGCGCGCGGCGGTCATGGAGTTCGTGCTGCGAGGTAGCGGGGAGCGGGGACGCCGCCAGGGAGACAGGATTTGGACTCGATAAGGGTCCCCGCGCGTTTCTTGCTATCACACGTGACGGGCCGTGTTCATGACCCCTCTTCGCCCCGCAGGTGTCTCCGCCTACGTGGAGGTGTGGTCCGCCAACCGGACGGAGAATTATTCCAAGACCTTTGCGCAGCAGCTGCGAGACATGGGAGCCCAAGTAAGAAACGAGAGTGGCCTGGTTCCCGCCTTGCTTGTTTGTTGTCCTGGTGCCGCCTCCTGCAAGCGGGGCTGCGTTTGCGGGGGAGACCCGCGGGCTGGGTGCTGCCGCTATCTGCTCTCTGAGTTGGGAGCGTTAATGTCAGGGCAGGGAATGTGTTAAACCCGTCCACGTGTTAGCATCCAAAAACTGTGGGTGTGCCAGGCACAGCAAGATGTGTGGGTGTGAAGCAGGTGTGCTGGTCATATGCAGTGGACTTGAGACAAATCTACAGATCCGAGAAATGAAAATCTGAGCCTCTGGCTACAAACCCCGTATTTTTCCGCTTACCTCGTTACTGCTATACTGATACATGCCTCAAATCAAGGACCTGAATTCTGTCCACATCTCCAGGGGTGTAGGTTGTAGCTGTGTGGGTCTAAGGACATAGGCAGGTTCTTTGGGTGAATCTGGTATCTCTTATTAGACCAACTTATAGTTGAGGGAAAAAAATTCTTAGCAAGCTTTTGGGTTTAAAAACGAAGGGTTTTTCCCATATCTCCTCCATGCACTTGAAGTGTGGTCCTTGTAACACAGCGTTGTGGATTCTTTGTACACACTCCAGTGATTTCTGCATAAAATATATTTTGACTTTCATGAAACCCGCTAGCTATGAAGTTTCAAACCATAACAGGAATAAACTTGTATTTTGGATTTTTTGTTTTTTTCCTTCCACATTTTTCCCTGTTGGAGATTCTTAAAACCCTTGCTGTGTTTGTTCATATGTTAGCCCTCAGTGCTTTTTAAGAAGGCATGCACACAGGCCCTGAGAGAGGAGAAGGGTGTGGGTGCAGTTGTACTGAGCCCCCCTCCCCCCCAGATCAGATCACTCTAGTTCCTGCCCCCCCGGGATGTACTGGACCCCTCACACTTTTCCACTTGCACAGTTGTACCTCATTCTAACTTAGTAAATGATTGATGTACCCAGGACAGAGAATTGAGCTAGATTCTGCTATGTGCATGTCACAGCTGGGTTTACATGAGTAAACAGTAGTAAAAAGGTGTGGTTATGTGGGGTTTGGTTTTTTATATTTTGGGGGATTTTTTGTTTTGGGAGTTTTTGGTCACAATTTGCAAGCAGATATGACTCCATGAACACAGGGAGTATGTCACTTGAGTAAGAGGGTACTAATTTACATACCTGGCTATAATTTCACTATGATATCTTCCTGCCTTGTTTTTGGCTGCTTTGACAGCAAATGACAGCACAAGTAGCAAAATAAAGTTTACAAGTTTTCAAAAACTATTTTTTTGTCCATTGGTTAACAGTACTTTTGATATTGCTCTGGGGCTACTGCCTTCCCACTGTACTGCTGAGTATCCTTGGGGCTTCACCTGGACCAGCACCCTGACCAGACTTTACAGCTTAGTGGAAGAGAATCCCATTAAATTTAAGGTTCCCCAGGTTTGCAAAAGAAAATGGGTCTCCTGTTTGTGTATGAATGGAATTCTTGTTGGTGCCAGCTGCCTTCAAATCATTCATAACCAGACAAATTGTAAGATAGAAAGACCAAACTGATTCATTACTTAAGCCAAAAAGCAAAAGCAAATGAATTGGATTTAGAGAAATGCAAAAAGGAGACACAAATATCTGCTCGCTAATTTCTCCCCTGGAATAGATTTTCAATGTTCCCTGTGATTCCAGCAGCAAGCAATCCTACCGGCTTCTTGGGTGATTCCCCAGCCTCCTTGGCTGGATTCCCTTTCTCCTCTGGGCTCCTAGTAAATACTACACCCCTCCCCATCACCCACGGCTTAAATAAATTTACTTCTCATTATCACCTTCATCCCTTATATCCCATTCTATTTCCCGGGGAACGTGCTTTTTTCTGGTAGACTATTTCTTTCCAAGATCTGGCACCTGCCTATTAAGTGTACCAATACTCTTGGGTGTGCACTAGGCCGTTTTTGATGTATATTCTGTTCCATGTAAACATTCCCAGAATAGTTTCTTCCTACCTGTCTGATTAATATTTTAATAGAGGTCTCTTTTGATATGAACTTAACCTTTGTCTAATGAGGAACACTGACCTGAGCTGACTATATGCAAGCCCACAGTTGGTCCAAGCTGCTAAGCCAGGGGTGTCCAGCCTTTTTGAAGGTGGGGCCGGATCACGAACTTTTTATCACCCAGTGGGCCGGCGAGCCATATTCAAAGACCTCACAGGAAGTGGTAGGGGGGCGGGGGAGCCATATTCAAAGACCTCACAGGAAGTGGTATCACATCAGGAAGTGACGTCGAGTGACCTTTGACACCAATGAAGTTGCAGGAAGTGACAATGAAATGCATCTAACCAGTTCAAAACTCTCCCTCTATAGCATCCACCTCTCCCACTGTTTGGGACAGAATACTGAGCTAGATGGACCATGGGGCTGACCAAACATGGCACTTTTTATGCTCTTATGTTCAGAAGCTCTTATGTTCTTTGGCTGAGTTTCCAAACTATGGCCGAGATTTGCAAAAAGGGGTAGATAGGCATGTTACAAAGTTGTCATAAAGGATTTGGAGCCCTCTAAATCTCATTCATTTTAATGGAAGTTGGCCTTTTGACTCAGCTTTGAAAATCTCAGCCCAAGCTGCCAACCAAATAAATCAAAATATATTTTGCATTTCTATGCAGTGCATCTCTGTGGGGCTCTCCAAGCATTTTACAAACATGAAATGAACCTCAGGATGAGCCCAGCTGGCGCAGCAGGGGCTCAGATGCACTTTCCCCCTACCTGCGCTGGTCAGTCCCAAGCAGCACATGGCTCTGCCGCTGCCTCTGCTGGCTGGTGCCAACCCGAGCGGGTCTGTCCCATGCGGAGCATATGGGAAGCCAGCTTCAGCTGCATGCCACTTTTCCTGGCTGGTGCTGACCCAGCTGGGTCCGTCCCATCCGGAGCAACGTGCGGCCGAAGCCGGGTTCCCACGAGCTGCTGGGGACTGCTCCGTCGACTCAAGTTGCATAACAACACTGCAGAGAACATGTTTGAAAAGCTTACTCCAACTTCCATATCAGCTTCTTACCCAGTTATTCCAGCCAAGAGAACGTCATCATAATAGTTAGAATCTGATTTAAACCCACAAAAGGTACATAGATTGGAATCCTAGTTCAATTCTAGATTCTGATTCTAGTCTAATGTAGTCTACATCCCCTTTGTATTGTAATGGGCTAGATTTCAGCTGCTGCAAACTGGAATAGACCCACTGATCTTGTTGTCCCCAACGGACAGTGTGAGTTCGTGCCCGGTGCGCTATTGCCAATGAACACACAGGGGTGGAGGATCCAACTTAATCTTTATTGTTTCCAGTCTGCGCAGAGAGGGGTGCTTGGCAATCGTTTGCAAAGCAAGCACCACCGGTTTCTACCTTTGGGTACCTTTTATACATATGTTTGCAAGTGTATCGCTCAGTGATTGGTTACAAGCCACTGACATAAGACATTCTCTACTGAGCATGTCTCTATACCTATGTTTTAGCCATGTAATTCATTTGCATACATATATGTTTCATTAACATACTTTTGCCCTGCCCAGGGGTGTGATTTTTAGCATTATAATGAGACCTTTTTCTGAACTTCTTGCTATCTTACAAGTGTCAGGGAGACATTATCCTGCTGGTGTTAGGGAGGCATTCCAGGAATCCTCCGCATCCCACACGCTGTGCTCTGCAAGCATCTCTTAACGCACACATACCACACCCCTCCCAGCATCTGCAAGTTGCCTTAAGTATTCGGTCAGATATAGTTTGCAAAAGCTAGATATACCATAAAAAAGATTACATAAAAAGATTACATCAATCCTGTCGTGAGCAGCACACGGCTCTCCTCTTCCCACACGCACTGCGTCAGCACCGTCGAGCTGACACGGTATGTGTGGGAACCTTGTCCCTTCCCAAGCCCTTCAGCAGCCATTAGGAAGCTGCTGAGGGGCTGGGGGAGGGACAAGGGGTGGGAACGAAAGTAAACTGAGTTTACTTTCGTTTCCCATCGCAGTACTGCGGGCCACAGAAAACGCCCTGGCGGGCCGCTTGGTGGCCCGCAGGCCGTATGTTGGACAAGCCTGCACTAAGCTATATCAAGATAAAAACGTATTGAATATAATTTCATCTACAAACATGAGTGATCCAAATGAACATAGTTTATTATTAGCTGTTGATAGAGAACAGACATCACAGTGGTTACCCCAATTTGGGGAATATGTGCATGAAGAAATAGTGCCCCACAAAATGAACCATTTTTGTTTCAAACAGATATGACTATAATAAAAACAGTCACATCTGTTAGTAGATATCCTATTTCCTTGAATAAATTGGTGCTATTTTAGGTAGCCATTTCTGGCTATAATCTCACTATGAGATCTTCCTTTCTTTTTCTGACTTCTCTGACAATGGATAACAGCACAAATAGCAAAACACATGGTTTTCAAGTTTTGTAAAACCTGTTTTTGTTTCATCGTCTAATGGTACTTTTGCTATCATTCACTCAGATTGAAGGAAATTAGAATATCGGGCTTTTTAAGGTCTTGCAAAGGTAACTTTAAAAACAATATTGTATTTTGTGTAACAACATTGTGTTTTCTGTAAAACATCCATTTTGTTCATTTTTTTTTCCTCCTCTGACTTTTGCTTTCATTTTAGTGTGTATAGGGAGGAAAGATCTGTACAGGGTGGATTTGGTTGATTTAATAATAAAAACATTATTTTTCTTGTCTGTTAGTTACCTGAGAATGTCGCTTATACTCTGTTTGCATATGGAGTTTTGCACAGGCCTTTATCTGTTCATTATTTAACTCAAGCTGTGTCTGTTTGTTTTTTTCTCAGAGGCTTGAGGATGGGTATTTGGTATGCACAAGCTTGTCTGTATTTCCCACTTCCTCCCCCATCACCCTAGATGATACAGTTGGTCCGATAAAAGATATCATCCACAAAATCCTTGCTTCTAATTCCTCCCAATATATTTTTTTCCAATTTCATGTCTATGAAAATACTTACTGTATAGTAGACACCTCAGCTTTTCCAATATGAATTCTTTTGATGGCTCAGTTAGTTTAAACCCGAGGAAAAGATTCCATAATCCTGGTAAGTTTCTAGCATTGACTATTAGAATTTAGTGGTGCCAAAGAGTTGCTAAAGCTTTTTTTTTCCTTTTTAAAAGTACCTGCCCCAATTACAATCAGAATTCAGTTTCAACTTTCACCATTCATCCTTTTTCTCTTTCATGTTCCAGTCATTTTTTTCTTTAGTTTATTCTCAGAACTCACTACATTTAATGGCTTGTTAGCTCATCCCCACAGTCGATTTCCTTCTGCTCTTTCCCCAACATGGCCACTAAGAGAGCCTCTTTTTTTTTCATTTTCAGTCATATTTGTCAAATTATTTCAGCTCATCCATCAGAGTCCATTATCAGGTAATCTGCTGCTTGGTTACTGTTGCAGCTGGACAGATAGCTACTGCACAAAGAAACTAACTCCTTAACCAAAGGTACTTCCATTTGAATAAAGGATCATCAAGGTTTAATGGCCGTTCTTTGTTTGTTCTGTGTTGCTATATCCCATAGAATATTAATACAAAGATGGATTGATTGTTTTATTAAACTTATATGCTGTCCTTACCAAAAAATCAGGGTGCCTTACAATAAGAGACAGCATAAAGGCAAATGGAGTATAAAACAAAGCATCTTTAAACAATATCCCAACCTACCCTGGCTTGTTAAATTCCTGTCCAAATGGGAAGGTTTTATGGCATTACTGAAATGCTTTCTGAAGCATTTCTGGTGGGCCTTGAGAAGGAGGGAATTCCAAAACTTAGGAGTGACTACCAAGAAAAGCCTCCCAAATGTGTTCACCAAATATGGTGGTGCACTGATGGTACTAATAGGATGTTGCTTCTGGCTGGTCTTAGGAGTACAGTAGGGTGTAAGAGAAAAGTATGCAGAAGTGAAAATATAGCAGAAAAGGCAGACAGACAAACTATCTGAATAAAATGTTGTTTTTTCAGAATCGCTCTTACCTTCTCTTTGCTCCCTCTTGTTTCATCTTCTATTGTTTTCACCCATTATTTGCTTATGTTTTTTGGGGTTTTTTTAGAGGGGTGGTGTTTAATGCAGTAAAAGTGGAATGTTTTGTGTAGTTTAATGATGTTTTTAAGATTAGGTGGGTGGAGATATCTAAAACTTTCTGCTTGTATATTTCTGTAGGTTTCAAAAACTTTTAACAAGCATGTGACTCATGTAGTCTTCAAAGAAGGACATTTGGCTACATGGAGAAAAGCACAGCAGACTGGAGTAAAACTAGTTTCCATACTGTGGGTAGAAAAGTAAGTAGTATTACATATTATGACTAGTTTCAGAAGGAAAGAAGGAATCTGAACCAGCATTAAGATTGAATCATGCTGAAAATAAGAAAAGTACATCAGCTGTTGTTTACTTGAAGTAACCTTTATACATATAGTCACTTCCTGGAGAGAACAAGCTGCATTTGGTATTATCATGGTTAGTCAAAAAATAGGACATCACCCCTTGTAATTCAGGAAATATGAGAGAGATTACATTACTAATTGTATGTTTTTGTTTATGTCAGCATCAGGAAGATGCTAATTGTTGATTTGGCTGCCATCTTGTGTATCGCTGCTCACTTATAAACTTGGCAGCTATAGGTATAGATTTTGCCAAGGAGAAATCAGTTTTTGTTACAGAAGACATGGATGGCAACACGATCCTTGTGATGGCTTAAGAATTTTTTTCAGCAAGAGTCTGAAGGCAGCTGTTTGAAGTGGGTGTCATGGAACAGTGACAGAAGGAATACTGTTTGCCTGTGACAGTGCTTGCGTGTATATTGTTCACATAACCATGGAAGCCATTAAAAATCTTCATCCTGAGGGCTCCCTCATTTAGCTCCAAGTGACTTTAACTGTTTGGTCCTCCTGGCTGAAAGAAGATTCAGTTGTTCAACAGTGAGGTACAAGATGCAGTAACAAGAGTGGCTTCAGAAACACCATAATTTTTTTCCATCTGGAATAAAAGCCTTAGTGGGTTGTTGTCTGAAGTACATCAACAAGCATGGGTACAATGAAAACAATTACGATGTCATAGGGATAACGGAGACCTGGTGGGGCTCCACCCATGACTGGACCACGGGGATAGATGGCTATACCCTGTACAGGAGGGATCGTGTAGAGAAAAGGGGCGGGGGGGTAGCTCTCTATGTTAAGGAAAGCTACACGTCCCTGCAAGC